TTATCTATGACTTGATACTTTTGATTTTTTAAAAGTTGATAATCCTACTGCAAAAGATTTGGCAATTCATTTGTCAGAGCTACATGCAATGATGAAGGCACAGTTAAAAGAAGCTCAAGAACAACAAAAGGTCAATGTGAATGTCTATCGAAAGGAACAACCACCATTCCACATAGGTGATAAGATATGGTTACTTTGTCACAATATCAAGACCACTCATCCTTGTGATAAGTTGGACTATCAAAGGCTTGGACCATTTTTTATTTTTGTACAAATCAATCTAGTTGCATATCGTTTATATCTATCGGAGTCAATAAAAATCCATCCAGTATTCCACATATCTCTTCTAGAACGATACAAGATAGTGGACATACAAAGAAGAAGACAAGCTCCACCTCCTCTCATAGAAGTGGACAATAATGAAGAATATGAAGTGGAAGAAGTTTTAGATTCAAGGCGGCACCAAAATAAATTAAAATATCTTGTCCATTGATGCAGATATGATATTAGTGAATGCACATGGAAGCCAGTAAAGAATCTTGCAAATGCAACAAAGGTTGTGGAGGCTTTTTATCAATGACATCCATCAAAATGAAGATGAAAACTTTTTTTATAAAAGAAACAAGATCTAGGTAAGATAACATTCTACTTTCAATCCTTGTTTATAGCTTCTTTGTAGTTGTGATGTTAAGGAGATGGAGAATCAACAACTAGCAGATTTGACTTAAGAGCCTTTGTTTGTTGACATGTCAGACGAGATATTGTAATTGTCACAACCTTCAAGACGACACAATTGAGATGAAGATTTTCAAGAACGACATGTTCTTCTTTGAATAGATGGTGACATATAACACGTTTGGTATCACAACCTTGGAAGGGACTTCTAATGTTTGGTGATTTTACTAGAGGTAGGAAAAATTCTTGATAGTGTTCTAAATATTTTATTCGAAAGAAGTTTTCAAGACCTCAACAACGATCAAATAATTGGGTGGTCTTCCCACCTTGGTATGAGATACTACCGATGGTTGAGAGGCCTTATCAATCAACTTTGAAGAAAACAAAGATCAGAGTATGTGGCGAATACAATTCGTTGCATCATAGATTTCCTCAACATATGATGATTGCTCTTTATGGAACTCGTCCCTAGAAGGAGAGGTAATGTCACGGATATATGCATGTAAGCCAATAATTACATATATAAATAAGTAGAAGTAAGTAAAAGTATATAAAAGTAAATTAATTCTATAATATTTGCTATAGAAGCTTCCTAGAAGCTTTATAGACATTGCTTTGACTTTATAGATATCTTTAATTGACTTTTTGGATTAAAAACGTAGTCAACAAGTTGGCCATGTGCCACATATGTTGTTAGCTTGAAGACCAAGCTAATTATGTGGCCCACATGTAAAAATACTTGCCTTCTAAGTCAAGGCATGTGTCCTACAAAATCAACACATATTAGAGGTCCTATAGAACATCACCATGTAGCTCCTAGTTACATAGTATATGTGGAGATAAGAGTGAAGCCTTCTTTACTCTTCTCAACTCTTTTCTTGCTTCCAATCTAGTTTCAAGGATCTCTAGTTTTCTTGGCTTTTGGCAATAGCCATTCTAGTTTCTTTCTTAATATACATATCAAGTTATTTCTATTTTGTCATCTTTTTTTGAGAGAAGTCTCACTTATTTATTTATTTTTATCATATTCTTATCTTTGATACTATCTATACCTTCAAGTACTCATAAAAACAAAAAAAAATCACCTTAGTTTCAAATTACAAAGAAATCCATCAAAATAGTACATTCACAAGTATAAATAGAATTACAAAGTAAAGTTACAATATTCTCAAATATTACATAGAACATGTATATGTTTGCAAATGGTATCTATTTTTTAGTAATTTTTTTAATGAAATTTTTAATAAAAAATATTATAGAAAGATAACCAAGTTCAAATTCTAATCACAACATTGAATATTGTAACTACTTTGTAATAGACATAAAAATTACTTTCAATGCATTGTAGCAAAAATTATTTCATTGAGAATATATTTCAAGTTAATTTAATAAATATTCAAAACTGAAGATGTATGAATTTAGTTGCATCCTTTATTTTTTATTAAAGTCTTACAAAAATTTTAGCTACAAATATAAGTTAATATATATTTTTCAATAAAAGAATTTAATGTGGCTAATATACTATATTTAATTTTTATGTACTCAAGTATATAAGTCCTAAAAACTTTGGTAGAATATCTATGGCAAGGTCAAAAAGATGACACATTATCTATGAGAATATCTCGCAAGATCTTGTATTAAACAACAAAACAATGTCCTTCAACATCTTATTTTAGTTTATTGAAGATATACAATGTAATGCATACCAGTAAAAACATAGTTTTAGTACATAACTTGTTAACTCCAAGTGTACAAAATAGCATTGCTTTGAAGATTGCTTCAACAACAATGATTATAAATAACTATAATAAAATTCCAATAGCCAATACTAATGGGATTCATTTGACATGTACATGAGTTTAGAGTATATAGCAAAACACTTTTGATATAGTGCTTCTATGCACATTCAAGCCAGCTAGAGATTATGATCTTGGCCCAATTTACATATCATTCGATCTTGATTTGTTATTATCTAACTAATATTTGAAGAGCTTTATAAACTACAATCATGTAAATCTATTTCTATTTTTGTAAAAAAAAATTATTAATTAGAGCCTTATAATTTATTTCAAGTTAACTTTATGAATACTTTGCAAGATCATAATCAAAAAAATTCAACTACATTAAAAACTTAATCTTTAACTTTTGAAAGATTCCAAATGTACCAAGATCTTAAAAAACTTTTACAATAAGATAGAAAGATGCTTTCTAAATGAGCCAAATTATTAACTTATTTAAATTTGACTAAGTTTGGAAATACTAAAGAATATTTATGAGAGCTAGAAGTTGTACAATATTTGCAAAATAGATGGAAATATGAATTTGGGCTTTCTTAAGCTACTCTAAGATCTGTAGAGTAATAATGTGAAGATAATATAATAGCTCGTGGTAGAGCTTTTGAGTATCCAAAGTAAAAACCTAGACAAAACTATACAATTAGCTATAACTCATACAAAATAATATAAGACAACTTAGATATAATACAAAAAGACAAAAGTCTTTTAATTAGCTATGAAGAAGAGAACTTAGAAACACACAATAATTCAAGAAAGTCATAGGAACTTAGGAAACTCATGGGAACTTGGAAGAATATACAAAAATATAGAAATGTTTTTATGTGCCTAATGGCATAGATTTTTACAATACACTTCTCTAAATATGATTAAGATCATATGTCCAAAAAATAATGAAGACATAAATACCACCTCAAATGCATTTTATTCCAAAGTTATTTTTATTTAGCTATTTAAGTTGTTGTAGTAAATAAAAATTAAATTTGCCAATTATAATAAAGAAACATGAATGGTATTACTGTTATGCATATACTCTTTTTTCTTTTTCTTTTTTCTAAGTCAATATTTTTTTAGAAGTTGTCAATTTTTTACTTAATAACCACAAATTAAACTTTTATAGAAAATTTTGTGGCCAATAATACGGATTTTTTCTTTTATATATATAAACATACTTTTATTATAATTATTAGATAAAATAAAAATAAAAATAAAATATTACTTTAATTTTAACATTATATATTGTTTGTTTTAAATAAAATTTAACATTATGTACTGTGTTTTCATATTAAAATTTATACTTTAAATTTCACAATTTATTCTTTTTTAAATAAATAATAAAATAATAATATATTTTATCAATTTTATATAAATGGATTTAAAAGCAATATATAAACTCTTTTGTTGAATTGTAAAGAACTTTATGGTTATGTTTCTTTTTATTAGTTTATAAAAATCAATGAATGATTTTATAGTCCTTGTGTTTAAATGCATTTCTTATTTCGAATAATTTACACTTTAAAAATTACAATATATGATATATGATATATATATATATACACGTCACATGATACAATGACTAGATTTTTTTTCTAAAATCTAAAAAGCATTTCACATTTTAATTATTACAAATGTAAATCTCTCAATGACATATTTATATTTATACGTGAATTTATGCACACCTGTTAGTGTACACAATGTTACACCCACATACAAATACATGACCTATGCCACTCCAATTGTTTTTGTTCGGTGTTCATTGTTAAATACAATGACATGATTTTGGTTGCATTTAACAGATTGAGGAAGTAGCTGAAGATACAGTTGTGACATCTCTTGTTTTAGGAGGGTTACAATTAGCCTAGTCCAGCTCCTTCAGATGGCAAATCTGCTCCTGGTCAAGTGTTTTAACCATAAATCATCTTCCAAATACTCCAGGTCCAGAATGTTTTAGGAGCTGCAAAAGGATACCTGAGGACACTGCAGCAGCAAGCATTGCCACGACACCAAATTCCAACACAAAAATTGTCAACATAGAATCAAACACTAGATCTCTTGAACAATGTTCACACTCATCACTCAAAAGATCCAGACTCTGTTCAAATCATTGCGATGCTGGACTTGGTCGAAGTCATGTCTTCAATCTCCAGACAACCCAAATCCTTCAGGTGAATGCAGCTTAACAAATACTGCCCATCCTAGATTCAGCATACAATCACCAGTTTGTATCTCTGCTCCTTTCTGAATTGTCGCTACACATTTCGAAAGCATACTTTAATAGCAATTACATGTTTCCTAAAATTGAAAACCTTCAACGTTTGTAGCCTACGGTATTCGTGACAGACTATGGCCATTGCAAATGTATAAATCACATAAGATTTGCAACCATGAACAAATACTAGAATACCACGCAATACAATCCGGCCAAATTGAACATTCGCATTGAAACCAATACAATCCCTCCGGCTTACTGCTCTCTTCCAGAAAACCAGTGTCAAAAAAACAACTGGTCCTGAACAGAACGTACTGCTAAAAGTGGGTGGGATGTGACTCATCGTAATGAGACATTTCGTCAAGTATAATGTTAAAGCAAAAGAGTACATGAGTGTCACGACTTGATGCAACACTGGTAGTTTTTCCACAATTGATCGTATGATTCTCTAACTACAACAAATGTAACATGAATCTGTGCTTTCCAAAAAGCTTCACTGAAGCTAAGTGCTACGAAGCAGGGAGATATAATTGAGAAGAAAAAATATATTGGACTGGCCTGGAAAAATTCACATCACTGAAATTTTCCTTCCAGTCAAACAACCTGCACTATGGTCCCCTTCAAACTCGTAGTTTTCTCCGCCTGAAAATTCATTCAGCAGCACTTGAGACAAGCCCAAGCAAAAATAAAGCTACCAGACATAAATGCAAAGACACCCCTCAAAAAATGAACTAAAATCGCCCTTCACTCTCGGTTACGTACACCGAAATTACATTCTCAGCTTGAAGTCTGCTGTTTTCCACTGTACAATACCATATTACAAAGACATGACAGGTACGGAGACGATCATTTAACCGCTCTGTCCGTACTTCTTGCCAGCACTAGGGGTACAACCCTGAAAACAGGTTGCAGGCGTTTGCGTGATCTTGCACCATTGAAATTCTTTCGTGTAAGCCCCATCAAATCCTGCTGAACCAATTCAGCAAAACCATTTCAAATGAGGATTAATGCCGTTGCAATTGAAGAAAAAGCTAAAAATATATTAACATGATTAAGGAATTACAATATCAAATGCTTTTTCATATAAGTACCAGATTCGTACAGAATCAACTAAATTAACAAACTTGGAATTTACTACAGAACTTAACATATGTAACACATCTAGAGGATTCCGAGCAAATCACTGACCACTATAGAGTTAAATTCAGATACATGAAGGCAAAAGTGGACCAGAAGCAACCCATAATGGGTTTCTAGGACACACTGCCATGTCCGCACACTTTAAAATTAACTTGATATTCCAAGTATGGAACTAACTTTTGTCAAGCATATCTAAGATGAAGTTCACACACTGCTTTGCTTCAATCTACTAAAAGGATTTTAACCATAATTTTAAGAATCTTCTCAAAGTTGCTATAAAAAAACAAAAAAACGAAAAAAACGAAAAGAGGCAGAATTGGAAGATTTTAAGATTTTTTTTGAAAAAACAAAAACAAAAACAACAAAAAAATGAAAAAAGTGGAGAACAGGGATAAATACACGTTTATATGAACTTTGCATATAAAAAATTGACTTCTCAAAAAGCTCTGCAAAAAAGCCAGAGATAAAAGAAATCTAGATCCCAGTATTCGTTTGGCACATGTGCAGTGAGGCAATCCATCTAGATTCATCCCATGAGATTATAACATGCAAACATCTTGTTTTAAACCCTAGGACATCAAAGAGGAGCCAGGAGGCTCTGCTTCAGTATGCTTCTGCTACAATCTGACGTTAACGAATTCGTTAGCTCATAATAATCAACCAAGGCCAAGGTAGGACGGCCATGTTCACGTGCAACGCAGGTAATAGCCAAGGAGAGCTTCACACAAAATTGCCTACGAACCAGCAGCATATAAACAAATCAATCCGGATAGATTTGACATAGCATGCAAACTACCTGACAGAAGAGGACCACCCGGGCATTGTGGAACGCAGAAGCCGCCAGTTGTGGATGTCCATTCTGAGTTGTAACATAACTGTGCCTCACTGAACAACTGAGCAAACAGCCGTCTCTTCGGAACGAAGACAGATGACGCTGGTGCAGATCAATTACAAAATGTATGATTTCGACCGCTCAGGTCACAGCCCACCAGCAGAAAAAGCAACCAGGGAGCATCCCTAATCTACATCCGAATCATCCATCCGGACTTGGCGAGGATTTTTCCGTGCATGCATAGGGCTACTTCGTGGCCTTACTGGAAAAGGATGGCCGTCTGCGGTAAAATGACTGCGCACTGGGGGTCGTGAGTCCATTAGGCGCTGGGACGAACCATGCTTACCCAGACGTCCTAGCATTACAATTATTAAGAGTATCAACACCAGCAATTATAGAGGCACAGGGTAGGTAGTATTAAAAAATAAATAAATCACGCGATTAGCTAACGTCAATTTACAGATCGACAACGTAGAAAAAAATTCCTTCTACATGAACCCGATATCAGACATAAATCAAGATCACTAATTCAGAACCAGGATCTCTTGTGCAGCCCTTCCAATACCACATCTAACTAAATCAATTCCAAGTTAGAAATAGCTCAAAAATTCTATGCGGGGCAAGGATTGACATACCTGATCTACCATGAGTGTCATCGTGTGCAGTGACTCTAGGTTGAGGGATTGGTGATCGCTGTTCTAAGCTAGTGCGTAAATTACTTCGTGCTGGAGATGGTTCTGCCAAGTTTTCTCCTCCGCCAAGACTGAGGGAAAACCAAGAGTTATCAATATCATCAGCTTCGGGGAGAAATGGCCCTCGTAGATTGTCTTGAACCTGCAAAAATACATGTTACTGACTAAATGACACACATCATTCACTATAAAAGCATTGATATGCGCCCATATCATATACAGGAGCCCAAGGGATACTGTATTAATTCATAGACCAGAAGCACAGGTTTGCGGACAAATGCTTTAGGACGCAAAATGATGAGGAAATGAATTGGATTCCATTTCAAGAAGTAAAGGTTAACTCTAGCAATTGAGTCCTGTGATTAGTTTCTTCTGATGCATGGTTCTTTTCCAACAACAATACCTCAGCTCGTGCTGGTTGAGATGGCAGAAAATTTTGCAGAGGCGAAGCATCTGTGTCGCTGTCCACACTACCGCCATCTGTGCCTGTGGCTCCATAAGGCCGACTATACCTTTTCCATCCCGATGCCAATGACGCATCATCCCTAACGAGAGGTACGGACAAAAACCCAGGACCAGCTAGGGCTTGCACCGGTGTCGGCCGCACAGGAGGAGGATGTTGCAGTACATTAACAGACTCTGTTCGAGGGGCATAAAAACTATACTGCCCATTTCTGGTCTTCTCGGCGGATACCCAAAAACTATTTCTGTCGGACTGCAAGCCAAATCCACTGTTGTTGCTCGTCCCTTCATCGGAGACACCGACACCAACTCTAGTGCTCAGGGGAGGGTCGAATGGGTTACAGACTGAGTTGCTTGCAAGAGTGACATCCGTACTTTCTAAACCAAGGGCAAGCCCTGATGAATCACCATTCGTATGACTAACCTCTCGAGAACGCATTCTCCTATTGCCAACGTCAGATTCTGCATACATTGATGCAGCAGAAGATGCCACAACATCTTCTTCCTCTCCTCCATCATCATCAGAATCACTAAGAACAATTACATCGGCTCCATTTGCAGGATCATCGCCACTGGTTTGCCACGTTCCGCCAGGTGCATCCCGTGGTCTTGCCAAGTACTCAACTTCCTCATTATCATCCATTGAAACAGCATTCTTCTCACTCGGATCATGATTCACACTGTGCTCATCCTCGTCAATTTTAAGATTACTGTCAGTGGCACTGCTACTTCTTGAAAGTCTGGGTGCGTCAACAACTTTTTGACTCGGGCCATCATTCAGATGCTTCGTGGCATTCCGAGCCCAATCACCAGAAGGATTTACTTTGAATCGGGAAAACCCGTTGTCATGAGAAGACATCCCCTCTTCAGTTTTGACATGCTTGAAGAATAAAACAGGTGCAGCCGTAGCTTTGTGAATATTTGCTCCAACAGCGACTGGAGGTGGACGCCAAGATTCGCCATTTTTGGCATGGCCTTCCAGTTTGGGACGCCAAGAACCATCAGCCTTCAGCTCCACCTCGGTTATGTCCTCATCCATAGTTCTCACCTGCTACCAAAGTCATAGACATAAGACACACAAGAGTACAGATCGCAAAAGACACACAAGCTATAGGTATCATAACATTATACTCAGGCCCATGAAATGAATATTTAGAAATACTTATGAGCAGAAGTAAGAAAAAAAATTATTTAAGGCATCACGGATTTTTCTTGGATGTATGAGTCGCTTTGAATACTTGCGCCAGTTCCACTAAATATTTTTAATCACACAGTGACGATAATTCTAGATCATCGCACGTCACATTTAAATTATGCTGAAGTTAAATTTACCACAAACGGCATGGCAAGAAGCATGTTCAAGCACAAGAAGGTATAGACAACATAAAAATATGCAATACTGTGGGTCTTGATTCATACCGCATTTGTAATCTGATTAAAAAAAGGGTCGATGATCAGATTCTCTATTGAATAGTTCTTCAGACAAATCGGGCATTGCCACTGCATTCGCCACAATTACCACAGAAACTGTTGGTACAACCATAAAGTCAACTGTCCCTTACATCTCAACCATTTCAGAATTATGCCTGCTTTATCAAAGCCACAAAGATTAACAGCTACACTCCGATAAATGGCAAATACCTTCCGTGCTCGCTGATTGAGTTCCACACATGTATCAAGGTCAAAGCAGCCCATGTGGAGACATGGCTTAAAACGGCCAGCAACCTTGATTCGAGATCCACTCATCTGTGCAACAAAGATTCAAACACGTTGATGCGACCCGGATTAAAAACTGGATAACACCTCAAGTGTGACGCGCTTCTTCATCTGATATATGATTAGAGTCAATTGACAGATGTATCAGAGCTAAGTGCTCAGAAGACATTGTAGCTAATCATAGTGGCGCCAAGCATGCCTCTCACCGGACAGCGTAAGTTCACAGTGATTGATTCTGCTACAACTTCCAAATCACTGTCACTGTCATCATTGCCCCCCAAACCTTGACCACCCCCTCCATTGATGCATCGCCGAACTCGAGCCATAGCCTCCTCAAACGGCTCCCCATCCTTCTCATTAGGAATAAGGTCTTTAACCTTAAAACCAAGAAAAAATACCATAAATACAATCAGAGAGGTCCTTACGTAGAATCAACAAACCTTTAACAGCCAGCAAACAATCAGATTCTACACTCTCCAGCGTTTGGGTTGATATCAAAGATACTGCCAACTAATGCAAAGCACACACCTGCTCCAGGGTGAGGCGGCGGATAATTCGCACCCCCAGACAGAAGGGGCGGGCATCATAGGCTGACATGTTCAGCCTGTTCATTCCTTCCCTGGCACATACAGTGATCTGAAATACAGGAAAATTTACTGTTGTCAAAAATGGCACAGGGCATACCAATATCCACGCTGTCACTGAAAAGCTCCGACCGTGAGCCTAAAGCTTAAGCTATAGGAAATACACCGTTGACACAACTAGGTGCATACTTAAGATCACACTTACACCAGGTCCTTCGTCGCGGCCATTTGCTCCTAAGAGTTGCTGGCCAGGTCGATTCGTAACCCGCACACTTATTCCTGCCACAGAACAAAAGTGGGATCCAAAAAGTCATTCGTAGCTATTCAAGTGGACTATGGCACCCCAACAGTTGCAAAATCCTTCACTTGGAAAAGAATTCATTAGCCCTACGCATCCCTACTTGAAAGAGAAACTAAATTGCACAGTTAAGGCTCTTAAAAGGGTCAAGTATCGATTTCCATAGTACAAAACAGCTGAAGATAAAACCTGGTTACTAAAAACTGCAAAATCTACCAAAAAATGTCAACGTGCACAGAAGAATATGCTGGCCCATTCGATGCAGGCGGTCTTGATAAGAACTCGACATGTATACGCTACAAGAGGTAAATAAAGCTCGAGAAAAAGGCATAGAAGTATATGGTACCGTTAACTCGAAGATCAGCATAGGAAGGCCAATGCATGCGAAAGGAGACTTTATCACTCAATAGCACACACCACACCTGAAAACCAATAAAGAAGACTCATATCTTTGAACATGAAACCAAATGTTCACAGGAGTAGTCAGGGGTGACCCTGAAAACTTTGCTCATGATAATACTCAGACATGTGTAAAAGTGCACGTGCCCAGAATAGCTACACTTCAATGACCTCACCCATTTCGTTTAAGCACCCATAACTATTAACAAGAACGATTTAGAAGCGTATCATAAGAATATTCTAAGAGAAAAAGCCAAACTTGTGCAGCGAAATGGTGATTGAATCTAGTATATACACAATTCTTCCCTCAAGAGATAGTACAAACTTGTAACATATACCTCCGAAATACTCGTAGAAGCTCAAAGAAACGAAGGAATAAACCCAGAGCATGTAACAACTCAGCAACTAACACTGAGGATACTACTCAACAACTTGAAGGGAAATACCTGCAAATCATAATTTAGTTTCTGAAGAAGTTCCCGGTCGGCTCGACTTAAAAAAAAAGACTTTTCTATAGTCTGTAGAGTGTTGGACCTGCAAATGTAAGTGCCAACCTCAACAATATATCAGAAAAATATATCTTTGACAACGTACTTACACTAATATTAAATCGATTGATATAAAGGTCCACCATACAACTGATTTAAGCAAATAGAGACATAAAACCAGTAGTTGATTTGAGATCACTAGAACCAACTTACATAAGAACTCAGTTTCATAAAAGGTTATGTGTATCAGGACCCACTCAAGATGTCAAAGAAAAACCGAACATCTATTCAAGAAACGTACCCTTCTGTTTTGGCCGTGGAGGAAAGTAGCTTTGTAGGCATTAGGGTATGAGTTTGGGCTTCACAGAACCTGTCCAGACCAAGACATTTTCCACTGATAAACATAACAATCTCAGTAGCAACTACGACCATCGGACCATGCATATGGCAAATTCAAGGTAAAAATAGGTACGCAAGTAAACAAAACTCACGGATCACCACGTGCTATGCGGCAGAGCTCGCAGTAAAAACTTGACGGGATTTCTGGCTGAGTTCCATCCGATGGCTTCTCAGGAATTACAACACAGTCCATGTGTTGCCAGATCTTACATTTATTATTATCACACTGCACAAGCGACAACTCTTACACTAAACTCAAAGTTTGCAAAAGTTGAAGAGAATAACTAATTGAACAAACAGTTAAATATGAATATTAAAAGCTATTACAAATTGAAAAATACTGCTTGTAAGACTGCCACGCGAATGAGAACTGAGACACTTAACATTCGAGCAGGTGCAGCTCTGCCAACGAACAAATCAGAGTTCTTAAAATAAACAGAAGCGGAGAAAAAAATGAAGGAAAACCTGAATCATTGTTCCAGTTTCCACATTACTTCCACAAGGACAACGAGTTCTAGTCTCTTCTACAACTTCATGATCTTCAGGGCCTGCTGATGGATAACCGCTACTCGATCCAGATTTAGCAACTTTATGCTTAGACTCGGTTCCGGAATGTCTAAGCTTTCTGTCAAGATCCCCAAGACATTTAGCATGGGAGTAAAACATGAAAAATCCAATCATTCTAACAAATTGACCCTTATTCTCTTCTATTCAATTGGTTTTCATTATGGTAATTCCTAGAAACAAACACTAGCATGCTCTTTTCGGAACATCTTTACTTGTACTGGAATAGCAATTCCTGAACGTACACCAGTTGAACACAGATCCCCCCATAACACACAAGAAGCGCGTCCGAAGGTGTAGCACCATTAGCAAGCACGCACCTGTACTGCTCGTCGATGATGGCAATAGCTTCTTCCCTTGAAACAACTTTCTTGCTGCTTTTCGATCCTGCGAAAACAATTCGGCGCCCAGGTACAATCCCGGGTGATTTTACTGATGAATCAGTTTTCGTAAACCTGACCCAACCTTATTTGTTTATCGCTGCCACTAACTTCATAGAAATCGTACAACAACTGCAAAGGGAACTACACAAAACTATCAAATGATGTATGCATCTCGCCTGGGATAACTTAGGTGCACATTATGGCAGCAATAAAAGAATCCCTGATCCTGGTAACCACTCACCTTTAGTTAGCGATTGTTTGTCTGCAGGATTAATCAAACCCATAATCTTGTCCATCAGAATCTGCTCAAATCGAAGAGGAAAACACGAAGCGCTAAAATGAGAACTCTAATGCGCTCAAAAAGTTAGCAAACATTTGCGCAATACAACCTACAATTAGTCTGTCAAAGTGGATCTTTACTTCAACTCGAGTTTCATATTAAGTAATTAATAGAAAGAAAGCGACGATCATCATCAGCTGACAATATCACTAAACTTGCATTATATTCAGTATAACTGAATGGAGATAGAGATGGTATTGTTTCCACGTAACTTCCAAACTATATCACATTCCAGAAAGATACTAGACGTTCCAAGTACGAACAAGCTGATTCAAAAAAGAAAAAAAAGAAGACAGCTGACTGGCCTCCCGAGGCGGGGTAAGAAATCACATGCTACATGGATGTAATTGGTGAGGTTTCCGACGGTACCTGCTTCTTCCCTTGTTTGGGAAGCCCTAATCGTGACAGGACATCTTTCAGTTCCCTGATTCGAAAGGATCCCAGCTGGCTCTGCAGGCACACGATCCCAAAACAATAAAACTAAACTTTAAAAAGTATGTACCCTCTAAATTGCCACTAAGCAAGAATGATAGAATGTAAATGGCACGTTTAGATATGCCCACCCAAAGGTCATACAGAAACAAAACAAAACAAAAACAAAAACAAAAAAAACTGAGCAGAAAATACTCGCTCAGAAGCTATGAGTATAAAAGAGGGACATACCCGACATCGAGTGGCCACGTCTGCCATTGCTAACAGCAAGAAAATTGCAATTCTACAGTGCGGATGTAAATTCGTAAAGCTCTGGTTGCAAACAGGCAATGACTTCCTGTTCCTCTGTGTAACTAGCTGCTTCAGGTGCAATTCTCAAATGTGTTGCCCTCTGCGCCATCCAATCATAACGCCGGAGAATGGAGAGTAATATCGGCAGCTAAACTATACAACAGACATCCCAGCAAAGATTCTGAACTGTTGAAACTAGAGTACCAGGATGATTGGCGCAAATTCAATCTCGTTGAAGTTGGCATCACAACATAGCGCCTGATCCAAATAAAAGAGCCCCACAAAATTGCCGGATGGTGGGATGTCGATGAGTACCAAAGACTAATGGTTGACACGACAATAAGAAGACAAGACACAGAGGTCACTCGGGTATGCTGGAGGAAATGGTACTTAATTACAACACTACTGCATGTGCACACGGAACCGAAGTACGGTGACGCCAAGTTTGCAATTGAGCTGAGGACGGGAGCGATATGGAATGAATGGTTGAAACTTCGATGAAACTACGAAACTTGTCGGTGCGGGACGCCGGATCTTCCCTATCCAAACCTAGGAAATATTCCCAGGCACTGCCGTCTCTTCAAGGTTCCAATCCTCACCACTGTGGAGCCCAGCGAACTAAAATCGAGGTCCTACAAGCACAACCATAGGCAGGAAAATCCTGATTGACTAGAACAAGCTTCACAAGAGCCGCAACCAAAGCAAGGAACAGGAACCCAACACTCAAAAGCTCAGAACCCCGATAGATCACCAGAAAACCCTACGAAAGGCCATAATCAACCGATTGCGAGTTGCTCCAGACATCACCTATCGCGCTGGACAAAGAAGACGGACGACACCACTACAGTACGGAAGACAAGAAAATACCAGAGTCTAAAACCCGTGAAAAAATAGAAACCTCAACCAATGCTCGAGACCACCAGCCCTAATCACTTCCACAAGGCAAATTCAATCTTCGCACAAAATGCGGCCAAATTTGCACCCTCTCTGCCACCCTTCACTCCACGAACTCTTCCCATCAGCAACCCAAAAGGCTAGCACAAACGACTCCTACACATGTCGCCGAATGCTTCCAACTAAACCCTCGAGCACATCCAGCAATCCAGGAGCATACTCCCAGAAACTCCTCTCCCCTGCTGCTAGGGCACCACAATGAACCCCAGACCCGCTACTCCCACAATCACCGCTCGACACAGGACCCCACAAAATGAAGAGAATCCACACGAGCATGAGCCTTGGAGAAATGGCCAGGCCACGGCCCATCCCATGGAGAGCTTCAAACTGCAGTCCACAACAAAATGGAAGTAGGAAGGGGGCGAGAAAATATTAAAAATAAAATAAAAATAAAAAAGGCATCAAAAAATTTAAAAGAAAAATCGTCGGAGGCTCAATAGACAGAAGCCACACCGCAATGGCTACAGAATGTGCGTCCCACCGATGCAGTTGCGAATGATGCTGTGCTACGGTAAGCCACAGCAGTAACGGGCAATGACAGTAACGAGGGAAAGGGGTGAGGTGGGGGGGGAAGATGTCGAAACCCTAGCGAGACTCCAGAACGCCATGATGTAGCTCCAGATGGAGTGCTACTCTACTCTACTCTACTCGCTCCCCTCCATCGGCTCTCTCCCACTGGGTCCGCCCAGGCCAGGCCAGGCCGGACCGGGTCCACGAATCCATCAACATGGAAGCGACCAGCTCTCCATGTGACCCGTCCCGAGGCCCCGCCACCCTATACCCGCGCAAGACCCCAGCCCAATCCTCAGTGTCTCTATTATTCGTTCCTTCCTTCGTTCCTTTGTTCCAATGAAACCGTCCGCATGATCCGACGTTCCCACTGCGCTCTCGGTGTTCCCGGAACATTCTCAATAAGTTTAGTGTGTTCTCTCTGGCGTTCACAAGGCGAGAGCGTGCCAGGCTGTAGAAGGGGGTGAAGTTGAAGAACAGGTTCGTTCGTTACCAAGTCTTTTCTCCTCCACCTCATGAATTGTGTCCTAGAATTTGTATGGTGATTACAAAATGATCCTTCATGGGAATGGGAAGTACCCCACATCCATGAATACCCTCCTCCACCATCAATGCATTTCTCACTCTCTCCCCATGAATGAATATATGAATGGATGGATGTATGTTTGGATGAATCAATGGATTGATAGATGGATGAAAATATCTGATAACAAAAAACATGCTTAATATATCAAAGGTGGAGATCTAAGAGTCTTCCCCTTTCTACTTTTTTGACATGAAGAAATGACAAGGCTTCAGTTGCCATCACAATTGAAGTGGACATAGGGCCTCATGCTTCACATATACATACTTCTGTTACTTTAAGTGTGTCCATGTTGGCTTTTGGTTGTTGCTTTTGGGGGTAAGAAGTTGTTTGCTAAAGGGAACCCTATTATAAAAGTGTGAAAAGGAGAACTTCTAAGAAGTCATGGGGTCCTTGAAGTTGGAGTGTGGTAGAAGGCATCATGCTATCTGCTTTTGCTTTTCTGTAGCTCATACTTTCTCATCCTTGTGTTTTGATGAATTAAGTATATATAAATATATTTTAGAAAGAAAAATTATGAGTTTTTATTCTTATTCTATGAAAAAATGTACAAGTTTTTACCTTGTACGTAGTATTTATTTAAATATAATGTTGAAGTCAATACATTTATTCTAGATAGTCTTCAACTGGATTTAATTGTATTGTAAAGATTCAAGTTTCAAAAAAATTCACCTTGTGTAATGTTCGTGATGATTTCAAATTACATATATATATATATATATATATATATATATATTCACACACATTATTGAATAAAATTTTGTTATTTTTATGCTATCACTATATATAAATTTTATATTTCAACTCACACTAAAGAATGGACACAATTTCTTTTTCTTTTTCTTTTTTTTGGTGAAAATCAAAAGAATGATACGAACCTGAAATATAAATTAATTTTGCAGCTATAACCACTAAATAATAACATTTAATAAAACACTAAGAAAAGAAGTTGATTGAAAAATGTTTTTAAAAATTGCACTCTTATGCTGAGAAAAATTCTTAATCTGAAACAATGATAGAATCCTAAATAAAAAAGAGTTGGTTTCCATGGTTATATTCTGATAATTAAAAAATATATAATAAAATGATAATAAAATAGATTAATAAAAAATATGAAAAATAAAAATGAAATTTAATATTGTTGTTTAATGAATTAGATAATTATTTTCCTATAAAAATATTTGTTTAAAGTGAAATTTTCAATGTATTATTTAGTGTAAAATTAATTTAAATAAGGATTTTCTAAATTATCTTATGCCAAAATCGGATTAAAAATGAATCTTGCATGCTCCAAATCATTAATTTATATAAAAAGAAAATTAAAATAGAAAGAAAATTGTGCCAAATAAAATTGCTGCCATATATATATATATATATATATATACATATATATATATATATATACATATATATATACATATATATATATATATATGTATGTATGTATTTCAATTAAAATGTATTGTACTTATCCATGAAAAATAATTAAACACTCTTCATCAATTAAATTTAGATAATAAAATAAAGTCTTATAAATAAGACATATTACTTTACAAAAATGTCATTCTCTCTCTCTCTCTCTCTATATATATATATATATATATATAACAATACATACATACGTATACAATAGTTATATTAATAGAAACAACAACAAATAACAAGTATAAAAGAAAATGAAATACAGTACAAGAATAGATTTGTAATCCCTTCCTTTAAATTGTGCTTCATGCATCATCATGTATCTAAATTGTGAAACTAATGTCAATGATGCTTATTTGAACTAATGCTAATTTATCATTGTGCTTATTTGAACTTACACAAAATTTCATGTGGTTGTTGTGATAAGTATATATATATATATATATATATAAGTTTCACAGATGTTACAACATTTACAAAATGAATGTTAATGTGTGCCTTGATGACATATAATTTATTTAGAATTTTAAATAAAATGATCTAAATGGTACGGAATTCTTCTTGATAGGTCATTGATGCAATTATAAAATTAATATTAAAGATAAATATATTATTATTTTTAAAGAAAAAAATCAATCATCCTGCATTATTTTAAGATTCCATAAAAATATAGATGGGAATTAAATTCTGCATTATCAAAAAAAATAAAACTCATTCATATTGTTGCTTGTATGTATGTTTGACTTCCAAAACAATTATAGCTTAATCTCATCAAATGAAGCTGCAAATACATTGTAATTTTATAAATGAATTAACAAAATTTCTCAAATATAAAATATGTAATCTATCAAATTGAATAATTTTAAGGAAAAAAATATTAAAATATTATTTTTTTTGAAGAATAATTCTATAGTTTGGTTAATTTTAGAAGATTATCATCTGAATTTTTTAAAGATATTTCATTTAAATTTTTTTTTTGATGATCATAATTTTTCCTGTTTTTTCCATTCAAAATTTAAAGTTTATATTTTAAATTTTATACACATATATAATATGTATTGGTATTATAGTCAGATACATTACCTTCAAGGCACAAAATACTTAAGCTGAAGAAAAATTCAAACATCAATTATCACACATGTATAAACATACATTACCTTCAAGGCACAAAATACTTAAGCTGAAGAAAAATTCAAACATCAATTATCACACATGTACAAACAGACATAATAATTTCGTGAATCTTGAATGATGTAGAAAAATTCAACAACTGCTTTAAAACTACTATTCTAAAAATCACAATAATACTCAAACTTTGACTAAAAACTTCAAGCCACAAAATAAAGAAGTTATTTTGGTTACAGAAATTTTTACATATTTAAGCTAAAGTCTGTGGCTGAACCTACCTTAACATCAATAAATAAGGAAATAAATAATATTATTTCAAGTGTAAAATTAATGTAATGACAAAAAAACGTCTCAATTATAATCTATGTAAAATTACTATTATTTCTCTACAAATTTAAGTACACATATTATTGACATTGATTTTAAAAAAACTATGTACATATAATTTTAAAAATTTATTTCTTTAAAAGAAAATTTATTTTTTAATATACACTATGAAATTTATTATATTTAGTTAATAAAATATAATATTGTGTAGATTATAAATATTTATTATGAATGAATATACTTTTATTTTTATTTTAATATAAATTACTTATACTTAAAATAAAAATATTTCAAATAATAATCATGTTATCCAAAAATGTTTATTAAAACCACTTTTTAATTTTTATAGAATTTTTTTTAATAAAGTTAATCTTTAAGAAAATGATATAATTTAATATCATATTATTGAGTTTTTAAATAATCAGAAATAAATATTTAGTATTTAGTAGCTTATTTATATAATAATTTCTTTATTTTTTTTAAATATTTATTCATTTAATATTTAAAATAAATTTAATTTATTATAGCTTTAAAATTAAATTAAATATTGAAAAGAAAATAGAATTAAATCTCACATGATTTTAAAAGTTTAAACTGGACAAATTATCAAGGATATGAATCACAAATGATCAAAACATCAATATATTCTTATGTCACTCCAAAAGAGTAGATATGCACTCAAAGATAATATATTATTAAATTACAATGGCTATGGCCTAAGACAAGAAGACTAAAGACTTTTGAAATAAGACTAAAATAAAAAGGCATTGATAAGAATGAAGAAGGCTTTATTCTTGCCTCTACACATACTATCTAACTAGAAGCTTTCTATGTGTGTTCACTTATATCATATTTGAACCAATATACAAGATATTCCAACATATTTTGGTGCTTCATTGAATCTAAGATTTCTTCCACCTCAATTTTTTTTATTATTATCAACTTCTATAGGAGAAGATGTCATTTGTCTTCTTTTTGATATATCTAATATCTTATATGACTGAAACAAAGATACATGCAATACAATATGGATCTTTATAGACTTTAATAGATAAAATTGATAAGTAACTAAACTAATTAATTTGCAAATAAAAAAATGGTCAGAGTCTATGATAATCTATTTTGTTACAAGGACAAATTGTCTTGATATTAGAACAAAATAACCACATCTTGTTGCTAACATGGAATTGAAGTTGTTCTTTATAATAGTCATTTGTGTTGATCTTCAATCATTCTTGAGTTTTCTTTCATTGTGCCTTCATTCTTGTATGTAGTTTTAATAAATAATTTGTCAAATCTTCAAATATAAAATTATTAATTTTTAAAAAGTCAAAAATATTAGGTCATAAATTATAACCAAATTTTGCATAGAAAGATATTATTTTATTATAAGCAAGCTCAGTCAATTGCAAAAGAATTGTCTATTCATTATGATGGTAATTCATAGTACATTTCAAATACTTCTCTAAAACTTGTTTTACACATATTTTTTTCTCTATTATTTTGAAGATAAAAAGCTAAAGATAATTTTATATCTATCTTTAATACTTTGAATATAGTTTTCTAAATCCTTGATACAAATTAAGCTCATCTATTTGATACAATATCTTTCAGTAATCCATGATAGTAATAGATATTAATAAGTAAAAATTTAGTTGTTTCTTCACTTATGATACTTTTTTTACATACTACAAAATGTGTCATCTTA